TGTGTGTGTGTGTGTGTGTGTACAAGCACACACTCTATACTATTTTATGTCTAACCTTTTTTTTTTTTTTTTTTCTCTTTAAAACTAAGGTTTGTAATACCTCCCAAGAGGACATATCTCCTAGATGTTCTCAGGATGCAAAATATAGTTGTGACACTTCGAATCCTATATTTACCTAGAAATTTAAAATAAAGAAACAAACCTTTGAAAAGGTGTTTATAATTTTGCCTGTGTTTCCCGTATTTGTGTAAATACAACTATTCACCTGTTCACCGTTTATTTATGATACATTTTCACTTTACCAACCTCCTTCTCATTAAAAATCTTATAGGATATAATTTTTGAATCACACATCTTCCAGGCTCAGAGCAAGTGTGTACCAAAAAGCTCAGGAATACTGTTCAAAATAAAGTTTGACATTTTGAAAACTAGTGATGTATTAGTTTTATATACGTATAAAAAAAAAAAAAAAAAAGCAATGACAATCATCAAAATGAAAATATTCTCTAGGTTCCAGAGAACCTGATTCAGCTCCTGTGATGTAAACATTTGATTGGAAACGGGAAAATCTAATGATGATAGCAGAATAACAGTACTGTAAAATCAGTATTAGATCAAAATGTTGCTCAAAACTGTGCTTCTTTTCACATCTTCTGAGCATTTTTTTTTTTAGTGTTGTAACCATAAGCATGTTTTCAACTTCCTAATATTGATTAGAATTAGAGCAGAATGGAAGGCAATACAGAGGTGTAATTAATAACAATTAATGCCCAGGTAAATGTCCAGGAAATTGGTGAGGAGAGGAAAAAAAGTGAAGATTTGATCACATTTTAAGTCTGTTCTTTCTTATGTGAATTCCTACTCATTTCTACCTGTAGAGTAAAGTTTGTAAACTTTTTTTTTCTGTTGGTTTGATTGTAGGATGTTGCTCTAATGGTGGTGAATAAGGTGTCATCAGCTTGATGAAGATGATGTGAACAACTAAAGGACATTTTAGTAGGAATAATCTAGTGTAATAAATACTAATCATGTATTATTTTCTTGAACATAACACATATGAAGATAATGTTAATTCCTTAACGATAGCTAATAACTTACCTTTCTTAGTTATTATTACCCTATACAAGAAATTGTTTATGGGTCAGGCAAATTAACAAAATATGAAATTTCCCAAGAACATTTTTTAAATTATAGTGGTATCCTAGATGATCCAATTTATCCTTGTTTTAAACTGCATTAACAGTCCATAACTAGTTAGTAAGACAGGCACAAAACAACAGTCCCAGAAAGATGCAAAATTAAAGTTCTAATTCTTTTAACTAGACTAGTATTATATACCTAGAATAATTTAAGACATTTTGGAATTATATTTCAAGCAAAATAAATGTCTATTTCTAAGGCAAATATTTTTGTATTAGTAAACAGAAGTAAGAAAAGTAGCTTAAAACATCAGGAAAAAAAAAGTTAAAAAATGAGATAAATGGTGACATTATTCTAGTTAATCATCATGCAACTACACTATCCATTTCAGATACCCTTAAAGTTACTTCACTCAACCCCTCAAAGTCATAGGAAGAAAAACATAACCACAAGTGCTGTCAGAAATAAAGCCTATCCCAGAAGACAAGAAATACATATGCCTTTGTGAACTATGGAGGGAAAACTGATAATAATAGACATGGAGAAATCTGAAGTACTCAACCAATTTTTTGCTTTGGTCTTCACTGGCAGCCAGGCTGCCTGTGTCTCTCAAGTCCCTGAACCTCTAGTTAAGGTCTGGGGAGCAAAGTCCCTCCCATTTTAAGAGAAGACTAAGAGAAGAGCAGGTTCAAGACCACCTGATGAAACTGAACAGGTACAAATCTATGGGGCCCATTGACATGCATCCCATGGTCCCGAGTGAACTAGCTGATGGAGTTGCCAAGCCTCTCTCCAATGTAGAGTCCTAGCAGTCAGGTGAAGTCCCCAGTGATAGGAAAAAAGAAAACACCACTCCTATTTATTTTATTTTTTTTAAAAAAAGGTAGAAAGGAGGACCCAGGGAACTAGAAAAACAATGAGCCTCACCTCTGTGCCTGGCAAGATCATGGAACAGATCCTCCTGGAAGCAAAGCCAAGGTACATGCAATGTCTCGGTGATCCGAGACAGTCACCATAGATTCACCAAGGGCAGATCATGTGGCCAATTTGCTGGCCTTCTGTGATGGAGTGACTGCATCAGTCAACAAGAGAAGACTGAACAACATCATTTACCTGGATTTTCTCTAAGACCTTTGATATGCTCATACATTACATCCTGATCTCCAAGTTGGAGGGAGATGGATTTGAAGCGTGGACCATTCAGTGGATAAGAAATTGCAGTCAATGGCTTTATGTCCAGGTGGAGGCTGGTGATGTCCCTCAGGAGTCCACCTAAGGACAAGTGCTGCAGTTTAATATCTTTAACAATGGCATAGTGGGACCAAGTGTACCCTTATCAAGTCTGCAGATGAAAAAGTGTCAAAAATTCAGATGAAAACTGAGAGGTGCTGTTGATACAACAGATGGAAGAGATGTCATCAAAAGGGATTTGGACAAACTTGAGAACTGGGCCCATGTGAACCTAATGAAAGTCAACAGGTCCAGGTGCAAGATGCTACACCTAGGTTGGGGCAATCCCAGACATGAGTACAGACTGGAAGAGGAACTCATTAAGAGTAGCCCTGCAAAGAAGGGCTGGGGGGATGGAAGGGGGTCTCTGATGGACAAAAAGCTCAACATAAACCAGCAGTATGTGTCTGCAGCCCAAAAGGCCATATATGTCGTGGGCTGCATCAACAGAGACATGGTCAAGGAAGGTGAAGTACTGCATCCAGGTCTGGTTATAGATGTGGTCACGAGGATGGCCATAAAAATGATCAGAGGGCTGGAGCACCTTATCTGTGAAGAAAGGCTGAGAGAGATGGTGATGTTCAGCCTGGAGAAAAGAAGGCTCCAGGGAAAACTTATACCAGCCATCCAATAATTAAAGGGGACTTATAGAAAAGATGGATTTTTTACATGGCCATTTAGTGATAAGACAAGGGGGAACAGTTTTAAACTGAAAGAGGGGAGATTTAGACTAAAGGTTAGGTAGAAATTCTTTACTCAGAATAAGCTGAGGAATACTGGAACAGGTTTCACAGAAAAGCTGTGGATGTCCCATCTCTGAAGGTGTTTAAGGAGAGGTAGGATACAGCCCTGAGAAACCTGATCTAGTGGGCAGCATCCCTGTCCATGGCAAGGGGCTTGGAACTAGGTGATCTTTAAGGGTCCCTACCAACCCAAACCATTCTATGATTCTATGACAAATATCAGTAGCTGCCAGGAAAACTTTTTTCTTCCAACTGAATTTTCCATACAGATGGAAATTCTTTGCTATTACTAAGAATGCTAATAACGTGATATAAGTAGCACCATCCGCATTCGACTCATAGGATGATAAAAAAATGCTCATCTCAGTCACTAACAAGACTTTTATGTAAAAAATGTTGAATCTTTAGAAGCAGCTTGAATCATTATTCTCTTAAACTCCAGATGGCTACCTTTCCATTACTGTGTTTTTCTTTATTGCTCTAGTATACTACAGCATGCACTGCGAGATAATGACTATTTACTTTTTTCTTCTATGGTTTCAACTGTTTTTCCTGATAAGTCTCTAAATCGACATCATCTGAATGAATAGTTAATCTAATGGTTATTCTCTAATATAATCCAATGAAGAAAACAAAAACAAAACTATCCATGAAGATTTTTTCTTAAAGGGATTAAAAAACCACAAAGTCATGATATTTTACTGAATAGCATAGTTATTCTTCTGACATCTATTTTCTCTTTCTAGTGCTATTGCTGACGCACTACCAAGTTTTATTTTCTTTTCCTCTGGTTCAAGGGCTGAAAGAAACTCTGTTATGTGTCTTATCAGGTTATGTATTATTCCAGACCAAGAACAAAGACAGCTATGCAAATTGTACTGTTTTAGAGAAAGATAACCACCAACACCCACCTCCCACAGTCATTCTACTCCCAAATAAAAAGCTACCAGTCAATGAGCTGCTACAGCTTCTCTCCACTGTAAAGCAAACGGTCTATACAGCATTTATTTGAAAAAGAATTAAACAAATTACAGAGGAGAACCCTGCAAAACTATGTAATAGCACCACCTGGTGACTTCAGTCTTGATGATATAGAGAAAATCTACATTTTTACCTGAACAGATACAAACTTCTTCTTTTCAAGTGTTCATCTTAACAATTTTTGTTTTAACCAAAGCAACAAATCTTCACATGTGTAACTTGATGCCAAACATCAACAAAAAGGTCAGAATATTGTAAAAATCAGAAAGCAAGCGTTCAAAATAAAGGGCATGTGCTTGTCTCCAGGATCATTCTATATGCATGTACCTAGGGACAACAAGACCTTTAGGAATAAAATGGATACTTACGCTTAATGCTATGACATTTTCCTCACTTGATCTTTGAAAGGAATTCAAGTGATTTATCTGACATAAATTAAGTGCACTAAACAGGAGATCAGTAAATAAAAATATATCAAGGCAATCACCAAGTTTCCCTTTATTCCCTTGTGTTCCTTCAAATGCCTGAAAGGCTGGGATATGCCCTTGCAATGACTTAACTTGCAATCTGCATGTAGAATTTTAAAAAGGTTCAAATGAGAGGAAGACTTGATTTAGTGCACAAGAACTTGGCCTTATGTCTAAAGAAATGAGATGTTATAGGTTAAGTTCAGCAAGATGAGTAGCTTTAAAATGCCATTATTACTTATTTGTATTGCAGTAGCACCTTCATAGACAAGCCAAAGACCAGGACAAATTGTACTAGGCTAGCACAAACCATTAGTAAGAAACAATCCTTGTCCAAATTACCTTATTAAGTAGGGCTTTCATAAATGTAATATCCAGGCACATACACTTCTCATTTGATATACAGTATCAAAATGTATTTGTAATACCGTTTCTTTCATATACATATATATAAATACAGAATTAGGCTTTACAAGACAATTTTGAAAATAAATTCATATAAGTACTCAGAGGGAAGTATTCACTACACAAATTCTGTGATATACTGAGCAGAATTTCAGAATGACCTTGAACCTTAATTGCCAGAACACACAAAATACATTGGAAAGTACAGACAATGTTTGAAAGCATGGAGATGTATGAAGGTACAAAATGATGTATGAAAATATCATCAAGACAATGTCAGGTTCAGACAATGACTGGTTTGAACAGATACATTTGTTTTTCTTTATATTAAGCAACAAGTATATAGGACAGGACATACTTTCTGATTAGGAGAATTCAGAACTTTTTTAACAAGACTTGATAGTTTTCAGAGGCAAGTTTTTGGTCCAAGACAAATTCTCTCTAAAATATATGTTGGGAAACAAACACACACAGGATTAAAAAAAAATAAATAAAATTAAAACGGTCTGAGAGCAGCTATTCAATATTGCATAGCAGTAGAAACTGAGCAAAGTAACAGAAATACTGAATCAAGAAACTATATTCAGATACTAGAAAATAATAAAATGATAGTCTTCCATTGACTTTACAAAAAACAATTTAACATATTAACTGAAAAAAAACAGGTCTGTAATAGCATACATTTCAGGTTTGCAGAAAAGAAATACTTTCCCTGAAATATTTTTTCAAATTCCTAACTTTCTGGAATCTTGAACACCTTTTGTAGGGGTTGGAGAGGCCAAAGTCCATTGGCTTGTGTGGTGTTTTGTTCTTTCTTTCATTTTACTGCTCTTTAATTTTTTATTTATTTTGATTTTCAACCTTAATTTCTATTGCTTTTTTTTCCCTGTTTGTTTTTCACAGAACAGCTTATGAAAATAGAGAAGTTGCAGAAAAAATATGAGAGCAGAAAGGTTTTTATACTAAATTATCTTTAAGATGAATCTAAGCAACATTTTAGATACTATAGAGTGTATTCTGTCTCGGCTTTACATGCCTTACAGGAAGGATATGGTCTTCTTGTCAGCCCTGTGTCATTTTGGCCATCCTGACATCGATATCTTGAACACCAGGAGCTGCAATGTCACTCACTACACACCTGTGCTTCAGCTGCTGAATCCCACTGTAACAAATAGCTGTAATTGACCTAAGGAACATTTTTACCCAAGCTCTTGTAAGCCATGTTTGCTCAGAGTGAACAGCGGTAGAAAAATGAACATATCAGCTACAGCAGCCTGTCATGTTTCTATTAGTGGGAACAGATCATCATCTAGGTAGGCTGTCATTGCTCCAGTGAACTCAGTGAAACTTCGATGACAACATGTACCACTAAAAATCTGCCAGGGATGTCTACTGATTTATTATTTACTCTCTACAGAAATAAGAATTAAGAGAAAAAATAGCATGTGTGATTTGTGATTCTAACGTTCAGAAAAAAGTGAGTAATTTTATTTTTTTTCCTTAAGGCACAGGCTCTTTAAGAAACAGGAAAATTTCTCAGCCTGAAAACAACATTTGGGACACTATCGCATGAACATTAACAGCAGGAAAGGATGGTTGTATCAAGACCTTAACAATCTAAAACAAGTCTTGTCAGAGTGGGGAAAATGAGGAGTATAATACGGCAACCCTGAAAATAGGGGAAACCTACAAAGCTTGCACTGTCAACTCTTTTTAGACAAACATGAGACGTAGCAGCTACTATGGATGCAGTGCAATACATGATGCAATAATGTAATTAATACTCACATATCACTTGTGAAAACACAAGGGATAAACCACTGACAAAAACAGAATTAAGATCCCTATTCACCACAAAATATGATGAAACGTAGAATCCTCCACTGCTTAAGGCAGGGTTTATCAGCTTTGGCACACAGATATATTTGTTTTGGATCAGAACCTTTGATTATTTATTTATTTATTTTTGGAAATCTATTTTAGAAGATTTGGAAATCTCCTTCTACACTAAACAATGGGCTAGTTGGGGAGTCACCATCTCTGAAGTTTCTGTTTCTGCAGATCAGTTAAAGTATTTTAACATATATAAATGATACAATGAAAAGTTGTCAAAGGCTGATTAACTGCCATGGACTATGTACCTATGGTTCCTGTGATACTTGGACAGTCAACTTATTCTTCTGAGGGACAAAAATATTCCATAAGAAAAATTGCACTTACCTTATTAAGTGGCTTTCACCCTGTTCCAAGGAGGGTACAGCTGATGCAAGTAGTATATCTTCCCTTTTGGAAAATTAAAAAATAGTTATTTAAAAGATAATTTTCAGAGAGAGAGAGAGAGAGAGAGATTGATTTTGTTCATTTAATTGAATTGAAATTGATGAAATCAGGAATTTAACCCTATTAGATTTCCTTGTCAGCTCAAATCTCTTCACAGGGACAGTTATGTGGTGTTCTGGCTTCCTACTAAGCAGTTGACAGCCTTGGCTTGTGCCATCTCCCTGTGCTGTGGGGTCCTCAGCTCAGGATCTCTTCCTACTTTCTTGAAGATATTGAAAAGGGACAAACACTAATGGAAAGAGGAAAAAGTGTGTGAATGCTTTTTTTTTTTTTTTTTTTTTTTTAAATTTACACTTGGAAGCAAATTCACGTGTATTAAGTATTTGATTTGGCATAAAATCAGAATTCATTTGCATTTTAGCTCTTATTTATTGTCATCAAATGAAAATATCAGGCAACATAAGTAGAAAGGACTTTATGTAAAAAAAAAAAAAAAGCAAAAAAAAAGTTTCAAACTGAAAATCAAACAACAAACAGGAAATTAGGGTCGCTTTCAAGGAAACAAACGCATTTTAAATTCACAAATACTTGTTCACTGCGGAATATAACTTACTGCAAGTGATCTAAAGTGACTTGGGTCAAGATTTCTTTCTTTCCAGAAATATGTTCTTTGTGCTCAATACAATTTTGATTCTGGTCTGTAACTGTAATTTCATTTGTGATTCTAAGCTATATTTTAATGTTTTTTCCTAAGTTCATGAAAAAACAGAAGGCCATTATGACTTCGTTACGTTCTGAGTACATTTTATTCTTTCTTATTTCCTATTTTCAGAAGAGTTATTTGTTTTGTTTACATTAGGATTTTTTTTTTTTATTTTTACCAACTAAACACATATATCAATTAAAACCTGAAAACTTTAACATCGCTCAGCTACATCACACAATGTTTTCTACTTATTTGACAATGTATATTTTATCTTAAGACTATATTTTACATACAAGCTCTTAAAGACTTTTAAATATTCCTTGCATCTCTATTTCACTCCAGACTATTTTTTCTCTCCACATTAAGTAGTTGTTGATTTCTAGTGCCATCTCCCAAAGGAAAAATCACATTTGAATTTTAAGTCTTTTCATGCACTGCCTCCCATTCCTCAGCTCTCATTAACTTATTGAAATTTCAGTCCATAAATATATCAACATTATCATTCACTGATCAAGGCAAATTCCTATTTTGCTTTGGGATACTAAACATATCTATACATTTGAAACAGTCGTTAAGGATTTTCTTTTTTTCCAGGTTTTAAAGGTTTTCTGTAATCACCTTTTGTAATTTTCTGTCTCATCTCAAAGCTGGGGATGCCAGATTAAGTATTCAGTAACTGTACTATAATGTACCTAATGCCTCCTATCTTCCATGTGACGTGCTTGTGCTCCTAAAGCTTATGTCAGTTACATCATCTATCATAAAATTTATATATTCGTTGATTATATACATGCAAATAAAAATGGCATGCCCTCAATCTTCTCTATTTTATAAATGTCCTTATCATATAGAAATGGTTACTAAAGTTTAAGTTATGTGACTTGCATTTGGTAATATTAACTGAGTCTGCATTTTCAAAGAATATAGAATATATTTCAGTCTGTACATGCGTATTTTTGCTCTTTGTTCCATCAATTTCAATATCATGAACAAACACTACAAGTGATGATTTTTTTTTTTCAAATCTATCTATTCTATGGATTAATGTGGAAGATGATAGATTTAATTGGGCTAAGAATAAATTTTTGAGGGGTCTACCTGGAAACGCACTGATGGAGGAAGATTTCCTATTATAAAACCTATGAAAAACCTCTTAATGCAGACATATTGTTTTTCTATATTTATATGAATATATCTATATATATCTCTATATATCATGTATCTATATATATATGATACTTTTTAATCAAAATATCATGCAAGAGTAACTCAAATGATTTGCAGAACACCAACACCTTTACATCTGTCCACTTACAATCTCATCAAAAACATAAACAAATAAATCAAACAGAAATCACCCCTCCAAAAAGTGATGGATATTAATCACACTAATTTCCCTTTATTTATTCCATCTTAAAAGAGCATTTCCATAAAGCAACACCACAATTCAAGCTAATTGTTCAATCTTTATCGAGCTGATCAGGTTTAAGCTTTTCTAGCATATACTAACACAACAGTGTTTTTGCTCAGTCCTCTGACATTTTCCTTAGTATTCCAAGCTTTGATAAAAATCTAAATCATGTTTGATGGTTTTAATCCACTTGGAAGAAGTTTATCAAATCCCAAAGATTTAAAAGAGTAACCATTACATTTCTCAAACTCCTTTCAAGTTACTAATGGAATACAACATATACAGATCTTGGATTTCAGATCTACAACCGTTTGCAAGTAGCCTTGTATATGAGAAAAGCACCAATGATTTAATGAAATTCATTCTGCATATGAATTAGCCTACAAAATGTTTATTGCAGATGATCTGTACATGATTTTTCTCTTTTCATCTTACTTCTGTCCTCCTAATATGCAACTATTTATTCTTGTACTGTTTTGTGTGGGAAATACTGAATTCCACATTCTGAGAGTTCAACGTCTATTTTTTTAACATCTAAATAGTTTTTGCTTGGCATAAAAAATAGTTTTTATTGTTACATATAAATATTTATATATAGTGGGTATACACTGTTATATATTTCATTATAATATTTTATTCCATATTTTTGTCATATTTTTGATATATCTTCAGAGAAAAATGCATACTTTTATGTAATAACAAGTTATGCAAATTCTAGCACAATTTGAAAAAAGTTCAAAATGAATTTTAAGAACATTCAAACAAACATGTAAACCGTTACATGTTTTTTAATACTTCATTTCCATTTTGCACACATTTATACTCCCTGATTCAAGCTGAGATCGGAAGTAAAAATGTTGAAATACCACAACAAAGCTTATGTTTGTAGCTGTTTCAGCATGACCTGGAACAGTAGATATCATGATTATGGGAGAGAGCCTATTCTCTTTAAAATAATTCAAGCCACTTCTCAAAATTTATCAAGCTCATAAAGTTCAAATAGATGTATTTATATTTTTCTGAGTATTTGCCTGAAGCAAATCTTTCCAAGCACACAGAATCACAGAAACATCAAGGTTGGAAAAAACCTCTGAAGATGATGTAGTCCAACCCCCCTGCTGAGCGGGATCACCTAGAGCACATTGCGCAGGACAGCATCCAGGCAGGTTTTGAATATCTCCAGAGGAGACTCCACAGTCTCTCTGGGCAACCTGATCCAATATTCTGATCAATACACTTACAGTAAAGATGTGTCCACTCACATTCAGCCAGAATTTTCTGTGTTTCAGTTTGCGCCCATTGCCTCTCATCCTGTCACTGGGCATCTTTCCTAGATCTAGAGGCCTCCTTTCCCCAGGGCAATAGGAAAGAAGTGCACAGGTGGACAAAGATACTAGGAACATTTCTTCTCTTGGTGTCTCAACCCCCACTCACTCAAAATGAGACATTCTCACCTGCAGCTCAGACTGGCACTCCTCAAGAGCTAGAGCAGTTATGGAGTGTAATTAATATTTCTTCCATTCTTTAGTTACAGGCACTACCCCACCAGTTATTTGGAGCTTTAAATATCCAATTAAATCAACTACGTTCTAACAATAAACTAGAAACTAACCAAGGAAAACAAATTATATGTGTGTATATATATATATATATACACAAATATCTACAACCAGCACAGAATGAAACATCCCCAGCTACTGCCATAATTATTGTGATAATATCTTCAATGACAGTTTTATCTACTTTTTTATATACAATATTACTAAAACAGTGGATCTGTACAGCACAAGATACAAGAGCAGATACTAGCTTGGAAATAGACTGCTTTCCAAAACTCAGCCCAACTGGAAGTTGCTCTAAATCTGGTAATATCTACTCTAATATTGTCATTTTACACTATCTGAGCCAGCTTAGATTAGCTCATGACAGTGGAGAAAACTACATTCTTGTTACATTCTAATGATTATTCAGGCCAAGATTGTACTCTTTTGGGCCTCTCCACTGACCACAAGTTTTAATCACATGGAATCTTGTTAACACCTATTCCAGCATCGGCTGTTTTCCCTGAAAGCATGAAAAGTATGCCAGAAGTAGGCAGCATGCTTGCAGCAATCTAAGGAGAACAATTAAGATAGAGGTACCCTTGAAGGTTAAACTGAAACTGATCAGGAGGAAAGGTTAGAAAAAAAATGAGTAGCAAAAATCACCTAAATGTCAAAAGCCAGAAATACTACTTATGTGAAAGAAGTGTTGAGGGATTTTTGAAACAACAAAGACCCCATGGCTTGCTGCAGCTGAGCAAACCAAGCTACCAGGGTGACTATGAGAAGTTCCCATGACAGTGTTCCCACATTTTTCAATTGAGGAATTTAGAGAAATATTGTTGCTAGCAGCTGGCTTCAAGGACAAGGTCTACGTGACTGCTAATCACAAGGGGGTTGTTTTCTTGCAGGTGAGGTTGTTTTCATGAAGTTGTTTGTCTGCGTGCTTTTGACCAATAGTCGTGTGAGAATCCGCCCCTATTAAGTTCACTATAAAAGCTGGGCTATTCGGGTAATAAAATGGAGCATAATCTGACCATACTAGTGTCTGTTGTGTTTTTGGCCATTCTTCCTGCAACAAAGAGGCATTCACCAAAAAGAAAAAAGCTAGTAATGAGCAGTTATTTTGGGCATTTTTATTCACTGGGTCAAATCCCAGTGTTATGAAGTTCCATAAAACAAATAACTAGACAACAGATAAAATTGCCAAGCTTTCAGCATACAATTAAATTAATACCTTTACCATAACAGATGAGGTCATTCAATAAAACTAAAATACTTGATAAAATAAACAGAATAGAAGCAGTATGAAAATATATGGTATAGAAATATAAGTACACAGCAT